GTAAGAGGTGTTGGTTGCACTTGATTAAATACGACTTGTTTAGAAGTGAAATGTTCAACTGTTCAAAAGTTACTGAAATGCATTCACATAAACCAGTCACAGGAGTTTAGCAGAAGCTATATTTGCTAATATAAGAGGTGGAGTATGTCATGTGGGTTGCGCTTGACTAAGTACAACTAGTTTTGAAGAAGTATGATCAACTGTTCAAATGTTATTGAAGTTATTTATCAAAAAAAGTACAACCAGAATTCAGCAGAGGTTAAAGTCACCAATATGAGAGCTGTAGTATGTTGTGTAGGGGACACATTATTCAGACTCTTATCACACTTTGACACATGTACATGATGCCAAAACAAAAGATGCTGGTTGCACCTGATTAAGTACAACTTGTTTTAAAGCAAAATGGTCAACTGTTCTGAATTTCTTTTATTAATTTGCATAAACCTAAAATTAATTAGCATAAGAGTTATATTGGGTGATATGGGAGGTTTAATGTCATGTAGGTTGCACTTGATTAAGTACAACTAGTTTTGGAGCAATATAGACAACCATACATAGCTATTAGCTAACAACTACTTGCTACTCTGCTTACCAGTTTAAGAGGCAGGACAGCGAGGCAACTGTGATCTATCGCAGCTCCTCTGATGAACACTCACATAAGCTATAAGTTTTGTTGACACAGTGCAACACAATGCCGCCAACCCAAACAACACAAAGGGCGTGCAGGGTGGAGAGGTACATGCAGGGCGTTCTAAGGAAAAAATAGTACCCAAATAAAGCATATTTTGTCAAATTTAGCAGTGTTTTACCATTATCATCAACGTATACGGCACATGTAAGTTCACTGCTCATTTTGGATAGGAGATAAAATGGTGATATTTGTAGTTTAGACATATGGATGTCTGGTTCCTAGCACTACAGTGGTGAACATTTTGACTCTGTAAATGTCTCTAGAAAGGTGCGTTTTGCACCATCCGCTCTGAATGATCTCAACTAGTGAATGATTAAGTAATTTTGCAAAATTGGTGTAGTTCCCCTTTAACCTGGGGAACTCCAAAACGGCTTCTGTTGTTTTCACTTGTCATATTTCAAATATTTTATACCTTATTCATGCATTGTTTGTACACTGATCCATAAATAAAAAGACATCTACAATTGGTCCATTTTTGTGTCTGAACCTATTCGCGCCCCCTTTCCCAGAGGAAAATCAAAAGTGTGTGGAAAAAAAAAAAAAACTCAAGGGTTTTCTTTGAGAGAGAAAGACACATACACAGACAGAAAACATCACAGAGATTCTTTCATTAATTAAACAGATCTATCATGGATAGATCTCAAGTATGGGACTACTTTTATTTTGACAGACAAAAAAATAAATAAATAGATAAAAAATAAATCAAAATAAGAGAGAGAGAGAGAGAGAGAGAGAGAGAGAGAGACAGAGAGAGAGATGAGATATGACCAAAGGAACTAAACTGCCAGCTATTTATAACTGTGATGTCCAGAGTTCACCAATCAACAGGAACAATCATAATAAAATAGCAGTGGAAAAAGATCACAAAAAACTAAAATGACAGTAAATGGCAGTGAATATGAGGAAAAGATATTTAAAATTTAAAATCAATATTTCCTCCATTGTGGAGGAAGATTACATGTTTAATTTCAAAGACCTGAATGTTGTTTACTGAAATGAACTAAACTGGCTGATTATTTTGACTCATCTGAGAGCTCCTTGTTTCAGGTTATTAATGAACTGCTGCCATCTAGTGTAGAAAGCACACAGTTAGAATAGAGCATCTGACTGTCTCCTCCTTTTTCAAAGCTCCTCCTCCTCTACCTGTTGGAGGAAATGAATCTCATACTGTCACTCTGATCTTTCTTCATTCTGCATTCACTTCATTCAGAGACACCAATGAGGAGCTTTTAAACAGTGACTGCATGTGTTTGTTTCTTGATGTGTGATTCTGAAAGGAGCTAAACTCACTCAGTGGGTTGAAGGGCTACGGTGGCTGATTCTCAACTGTGCTGCTCTGATCATTACAGACGTCTTAAAGTGAAGGTGGAGTTTGGACTAAAGGAGCCATTACAGAGAAACAGCACAGCAGCAGTTGGAGGAAATGGCTGCTAGAAACCCTCTTTCAGAAGAAGAGCTTTCCTGTCCTGTGTGCTGTGAAATCTTCAGGGATCCTGTTGTTCTGTCGTGCAGCCACAGTGTGTGTAAAACCTGTCTGCAGAAGTTCTGGGAAAATAAGGAGTCTCGAGAATGTCCAGTTTGTAGGAGAAGATGCTCTAA